GTAAATCTTATTAAAATTATATATTAAACTCTTGTATAGTTTTAAGTATTCTTCCTCAAAACATTTGTAAAAAGAAATTATTTCTGCTTGACCAGAGAGATATGCTTTTTGCCGGGATCATCACGTGTTTACATATTGGCCATGTCTATTGGTGTGTTGTTTCAGGAGTGTCAGTGCCTCTAGAAATGCAATACCAATTTATAATTAAAATAAACTTTTTGGAGTTAATATTTCTATAGTTTTGGGAAGCAGTTGGTGTTTTTTTGTTTGTTTTGGGAAGCTATTAAGACAACCTATGTAGTAAAATTTAAAATTATAAAAAAAAAACAAAACACTCATGGTGATCATTGCGCTTTCCTTGTTTCTGATGGTCACACACCTGGCCTTTGCCACTCACTGTCTCCGTTGTTCCCACTGAAACTAGGGAACCTAATTCCAACATGCCTATTGTCATCTGCAACGGGCTATTGGGAAACTCTTCTAGGAAGCTCTTCTAGGATGCTGGCACCGTTTCTTATCGCCCCAGGGAAGGGGAATCTTACAGCTCTCCCAGAGAGGAGGGTTAAGTGGAGGCTGGGCTGGTTGCAAGTAATGGGGCCATTGTAGCATCCCCACTTCCTGGAGCCTTAGCAGTGAGAAATAAAAATAAAATCCTAAGCCCCTCAACCAACTGAATGTACCTCTCTCTGCCAAGGGGACCTCAAAGAAATCTTAAAAACTGAGTTCTGGCTATGATGGGACAGGAGGTCAGACATGCCCCTTATACCCCCTCCCTCACTATCATGAGACTTTCCCTCCTAAGGCTTAAACAGAAGCCAGACCTGAAAGACTTGCCTTGCTGGACTCCTCCCTTCTGGACTCCTTCCTTTTGCCATTTCAATACAACAACCCGCCAGCATTCCTTCCTGATAAGACATCACCAACCATGGACCAACCGGTCTGGCCGGTTCACAGCGGCTGTGCGTAGGATGCCTCTGTGTCCTCTGTTCCACCTCTTGCCGCATAGGGCCTCATTTTAATGCATTTAAATGTTAACTCTCGACCCCAAAGTGAACATGGGGCATATGTGACATGCAAGTTTGCTTACTGTGCACGCATGCACCCCCCCTTCATGAATATTCATAGCTCCCCCATAACTTGTTAAATACGTGTACATAGATGTATACTTAGCCAACCTGTTTGGCATAAATTTCCTGTTCTACCTTTCTCTCCCTCCAATCGCTTGCTTTTGGTTTCTGCCAAAGGCTATGCTTCCCAGCCTGCTAGACGGCCAGCCCACGGCTGCAACACTTTATAAGAAATAAAGCTCTCCTCTCCAAATTTATGAACCTTGTGATTCTTCAGTCGACAGGCGTCTTTCCTGACAACCTCATGCCAGAGAAGATCCAGCATTTCAGCCTCATCAATTATAAGCCAGCAGTTCTCAACTTCACTGGCTTCGCCCCTTGGTAACTCTTTGGTATGTAAACCAGAGGCCTTGTGCCTCTCTGGGTGACTTATGTTGGGGTCTGACCCTCACTGTGGGCCTAGGGCCTATGAGGGGGACCCTGAGAGGTGGAGCCTGAGGAGGAGCAGAGTCAGCTTATGAACTTATCTATTTCCCACGCAGTCATTTAAAAGCTTTTACGTAGAGAAACATTTATCCCTTGTCTAGTGGGGTTGGGGGTACATTTAGGGAAATTTAGAGGCTCCAAGGTTATCTATTTATTTATGACAGATGTTAAGAGATTTTATTGGTCCTATAACATTAGAATCTGACAATGTCTCCACCCCAACGTAATTCCAAGAAAAAGCCATTTATGAGTTTTTTCCATTTTTTAAAAATAAACTTAGGTGGGGGGTGGGCGAGGGGGAAAGAAAAAGAAAGAAAAAAATAGAAAAAAAATAAAAATAAACTTTTTGTTTTAGAATAGTTTTAGGTTTACAAAAAAGCTGCAAAGACAGTACAGAGAGTTTCCATATACCCCACACTCAGTGTGCCCTATTCTTAATACATTAGTGTGGTACATTTTTGACAATTAAGGAACCAATACTGATATACAATTAGTAATTAAAATCCATTCTATACTCAGATTTCCTCAGTTTTTCCAGGATCCTATCGGGGCCCTACATTACACTTAGTTGTCATGTCTCCTTAGGCCCCTCTTGGCTGTGACAGTTTCTCAGACTTTCCTCATCTTTGATGGCCTTGACAGCGTTGAGGAGCACTGGTCAGGAATTTTGTAGACTGTCCCTCAATTTGAGTTGCCTGGTGTTTTTCTCGTGGTTATAGTGGGGTTATGGGTTTGGGGAAGGAAGACCGCAGAGGTCAGGTGCCATTCTCATCACATCGCACCAAGGGTAGGCACCATCCATGTGACTTGTCACTGCTGATGTTAACTCTGACCACCCGACTGAAGCAGTGTTATCAGTTTTCTCTCTGTACTGTTTGCAAGGAAGTCACTACATGGAGCCCACCCTTCGGGAGTGGAGAAAGCTCAGAGTTCTTAGCCTGGTTTGTGTGTGCCCACACGCCCCATCCCGTATCTCAGAGTCAGACTCCTTCCCCACCAGTGTCCTGTGATGGGAGAGGGGCGTCAGGGTTGAGCACCAAGATCAGTGCTGGACTCCACAGCCCTTACAGTCAGACCCAGGTCTTGGTCCTCAGCTATACGTACCCTATGACTACCATATGACTCCTTCAAATCTTCCCCTACGCCCTCTGGTTCTCCCTGCATGCTCTCTTATTTATTTATTTATTTATTTGTTTATTTATTTTTGAGACAGAGTTTCACTCTGTTGCCCTGGCTCGAGTGAGTGCCGTGACGTCAGCCTAGCTCACAGCAACCTCACACTCCTGGGCGCAAGCGATCCTCCTGCCTCAGCCTCCCGAGTAGCTGGGACTACAGGCATGCGCCACCATGCCCGGCTAGTTTTTTCTATATATTTTTAGTTGTCCAGATAATTTCTTTCTATTTTTAGTAGAGACGGGGTCTCGCTCTTGCTCAGGCTGGTCTTGAACTCCTGAGCTCAAACAATCCTCCCGCCTCGGCCTCCCAGAGTGCTAGGATTACAGGCGTGAGCCACCGCGCCCGGCCTCATGCTCTCTTTTTTTAAAGACTGTTTTTCTAAGGCCAGTTTTAGGTTCACAGCAAAATTTAGAGGAAGGTACACAGATTTCCCATTACCCTCTGCCTCTAAACATGCATGGCCTCCCTCCTTGCCAACGTCTCCCACTAGAGTGGGACATTTCTTACAACTGAGGAACCTACATTGACACATCGTCACCCAGAGTCCATAGTTTACATTAGGGTTCACTCCCAGTGTGTATATTGTTTGGTTTTGACTAACGTATAGTGACATGCGTCCACCATTGTAGTATCATACGTAGTAGTTTCTCTGCCCCCAAAATCCCCTGTGCTCTGCCTGTTCATCTCTCCTCCACCTCTAATCCCTGGCACCACTGATATTTTTACTGTCTCCGTAGTGTTTGCCTCTGCCAGAACGTCATCTAGTTGGAATCATACATGTGTAGCTTTTTCAGTTTGGCTCCTTTCACTTAGTGATATGCACTTAAGATTACTCCATGTTTGTTCATGGCATGATAGCTCATTCCTTTTTAGCATTGAATAATATTCCATTGCATGAACATACCACAGTTTAGTTATCCATCCACCTACTGAAGGACTTCTTGGTTGCTTCTCTGTTTTGGCAATTATGAATAAAGCTGCTATAAACACCTTTGCACAGGCTTTTGTGTGGACCTAAGTTTTCGGCTCCTTTGAGTAAATACCAAGGAGCACAACTGCTGGATCACATGGTAAAAGTATGTTCAATTTTGTAAGAAACTGCCAAACTGTCTTCCAAAGTGGCTGCACCACACTAGGATGACTATGGTTAACCACAATTTATTGTATATTTCAAAAAAGCTAGGAGAGAAGATTTGAAATGAGATGATGGATATTCTAATTATCCCGATTTGATCATTATCCATTGTATGCAT